TCTGTTTGCATTATCCAGAAAATCCTCACTTGCAGTTCTTTAACTGCTAAAGTGGTCAATGGGGCTTGTTTGTATCGCATTTACTGATTACTCAGGTAAAAAGACAAAATGCACAATAATTGAGGCACAAGAAAGGCACACTGCGCCAGGTGTCGCCGTGTGTCTTTCTTGCGTTCCTTTTTTTTTGCTCTACCATAGAAGTCACATTCTTTTTAAACAGCATTGTTTGACCGCCAACCGGTGGAGACGTCAGCACCAGAATCGCTAAACGGAGCTGAAAAGTTAGAAAAAATAAGTATTTGCCAGACGTCTCTGTTGAGAATTATGTTATGCCTTGTCTTATTCGATTTCTCGTTCATTTTGTATGTGCACTGCTTCATTCAACGGTTTCTTGGCCTTCTCAAGGTTTTTCAAGGTCTCTCGGTAGAAACACTTAGAGATTCTTGTCATCGTCATCTCATTGTACAGTAAAACCTCGTTAATTCGAAGTCACTGGGGCCGCGAGAAAGCTTCGAATTAAGCGGGTTTTCGAATTAACAGAACATACGAGAAGTGGGATGCAAGGAGCCCCGCCGCGGTTGGTCTAGTGGCTAAAATACCCGACTGCTGACCCGCAGGTCGCGGGATCGAATCCCGGCTGCGGCGGCTGCATTTCTGATGGAGGTGGAAATGTTGTAGGCCCGTGTGCTCATATTTGGGTGCACGTTAAAGAGCTCCAGGTGGTCGAAATTTCCGGAGCCCTCCACTACGGAATCTCTCATAATCATATGGTGGTTTTGCGACGTAAATCCTACAAATCAATCAATCAATCAATCTGTGGGATGCAAGGAACTTAGAACCATTCAAAGTAATCAGTGCCGTAATCAGTGTGCCGGCTAGCTTGCGACTCAAAAGGTCATGTTTTCCAGCAATATCTGGACGTTATTTGGCCGCGAACACGAAGGAATTGGGGGCCTCGCTGCTGCCACCGAAAAAATAATGTGGTCGTAATCAATTAAAATGTGCGCCTGCAGAAAATAAGACATCTTCACTCCAGCACAGTAGTGACATGCGGGCAGCATGTTCTTTGCGCCTCGCTTCGTCAGCAAGTCATTATGCGACCACTGGCACATTCTATTATAATTATGACTTTAATAACGGACATTATGACGAATCCCACGATGCGTTTTGGTTGGAAAAAATAATCTTTGAAACTTTCAAAATTAGTTTTTGAAGTAGGTGTTGCTGGCAAAAACTCCGCCAGCAGTGCAAAGACTCGTATTGCTGAGGCAACCGGCAGTCGAATGTTCGCATACATCGTGATTTCCGCTAAACTGTCCTGTATTAATTTCTTTACGGTCCCAGAAAGAATGGGTAAACCAAAACCATGGCCCGCTGACGTTTCAAGAAACATGCAATAAGCTGCCCGCATGTCATTGCTGTGTTGCAGTGAAGCATGGCTCGTTTTCCGCAGGCGCACGTTTTGGTTGACCACAAGACCGTTTTTTTTTTTGCCTCTTTTTTTTTGCGCTGGAAGTAGCGAGGCTGGGGTGCTTCAGCTGCCACTCGTTAGTATCGATACATTGCATTGCCTTGTGGCTATTAATAGCCGTCGTTTCGTGGATTCGCGGCAAAATCGGGATCTGGAACTGGCACATGGCACTCAAAGTTTTCGAATTAACAGGACTGGTGCCGGCCGCCGTTTCAAATTATTCACTCAAACTTGCATTGCAAAATACGGGACTGCGGAAGTCCTTCGAGTTAAGCGGGTTTTCGAAATCACAGAGTGCAAATTAACGAGTTTTTTGTATATAATAATAATTATTATTATCATTATTATTATGGCAGGTAATACAACCTATAATAATTATTCAGTATGTGGTACTTTCAGTTTTATCTCAAGTTTCACCCCCCCCCCCCCCAGAGAGAAATCCTGGGCACGCTAATGCTGCAAGTACATGCGAACAGTTTCTGAAAAAGGCCCACCTGTCAACTTCGGCAGGGCTCACATGCTAGCAACGAAAGCTTGCGCTACCGAATCAGTGAAGCTGAAGCATATAGAGGAAGCTAGTGTTCGCAAAGGCGATTCCTGATTTTCCAGGAAAGATGTCTTCTCTTGAAACAATTGGGCAAACAATTCTATAGGGTAAGACGAATGGAATAAATGGTCTGCAGTTCTAATTGTCGTATACATTCCTTGTTTTCATCTTAACTTCTCGCACAGTTTAGTCTTCTTTCAGTGTGATCCACAGAACCAGAAAAATAATGCTGTCCTTGTGTCTTCGTCTCCTGATATAGATAATTATTATGATGACAATCTTTCCTCGTGCTCTGCGAGAAAGAAAATGCTCAGGTGATATCAAACACTCCGAAGACACTTAAGATAAATAATGCTTGTATTCTTTGCAGCTAAATTTAAAAAGCGTCAAGTCTCAAGCATCATAGAGTTTCCCATATATCCAGTAGAGAGAACTCTGGCGCTAGTGTGTCTGGGAGCTGCAACGCACGGCGCTTCAGGGAGCATGGGAATTGTCTAATCTTTGTACTTCTGGCTCTGTGTGTGTTCATGTGGCTTGAAGCTGTTCTGTCACAAAACAAAAATCGGCAAATGTTCAGCTGTTGCACTTTGGCACTTTAATCCTTTAGGCTTGCCATGTGAAATCAGGTCACAAAGTTCAAACGAGTTCATTCTTACCTTCGAAACAAAACCGAAACACCGCAATAAACGAAGCCACAAGTGGGATTAGTTGCCCGCAAGTGTGAAGACTATAGGCAAATCCATGTCATACCCATGATTCTAATGGTAGGTGAATGATTGTAGTGCCAAAGTCCCCTCTAGTTAATTTTAGAAAACTCAATGTCAAGCAAGACCAGATGACAAAGGAAGAAGGAAAGGATGTGGTGGGGGCCCTCCTTATTTTTTTAATCGGGCCCTCTGCACTGTCAATCCGGCCCTGATTATGTGGCAGCCGGGCTCCGTTAGTGACGTGCACGTGACGGGTTATAGTCGGCGCTGTGCTTTGGGTTCTTCTGCCGGTTTGCCATATGATCAGCCCTGCCAATGAAGTGTTCATCGTCAACGGGTGCTAGCGCGCTCGCCGAGCGTTTGAAAACATAATTATACTGCATCATACTTGAACAGTGCTAACAAAAATAACATGTGCAACGAATTAACATTAAAGAAAATGTGAGGCGCGGGAATCTAACCGCTGGCTTCTCGAGTGTGAGTGCGACACCTCTCCGCTAAGCCATAAAATAGCTTTCTTCTTTTTCTTTTTTTGATGATTCCAGAGCTTCTAGCTAGGGGTGCACAGGCAACCTGGGTGGCCGCTCATGTCGTTGTCAACAGGGGGGGGGGCACTGCTTGCACCAAGAACTTTTCAATTAGCTTTGTGATTTGAACAGTGTACCCGACATCATGTGCTTGTATGCCAACCTTCTAATCATTTATAAAGTTAGGTATGTGAGCTGCCAAAACGGTTTTATTGTGCTGCTACTCTCATGTTTACTTATGTTAGTAAACATGTGAGAAGTAGGTGGCTCAAAACGCAACACGTTTTGCTATCTAACAATTGAAAACAAAAGGTTGAAATAAATGCCCATGGTGCAACTTTTATGTGGTAGCACTTGCCACATTGTAGTCATGTTGTATTTTGTTTTGTTTTATGTTTTCGAATGTAAGAAAATATTACATATTTCACATCGGACAAATCGTGCCTAGGTTTACCAACTGTCTCGGATTATGCGGGACTGCCCCTACATTTTAAGCACAGTCACGTGTCCCACACCGGCCTTGTTTAGACAGCTGTAAAGCTTTTGTTTGGGCTAGGTGGTGCATTCTGGAACACATATTTGGGCTGTGTGAGAAAGCGTGGACAAAAAAAGAGTAGACAGTACAGGTGCAAATGTGCCCATCCTGTGTACTCTTCTTTGTACATGGTTTTTTTGCGCAGCCCAAATATGTGTTCAGGACAGCTACATGTCCTGTATTTGTTCTGGACCGTTCAGTTAGAAATTTTAGTGCACATCCAACTACGCGCCTCGCCTAAGGAACAGAAAAATAGCACAAATAACATGCGCAGAGCAATGTTGTGGGGGCTAGTGGTGTTTACGAGAGGCTTCGTAGTCACTTCAGCTGCACTTTCACGAGTACATTATTTATTTATTTATTTATTTATTTATTTATTTATTTATTTATTTATTATCCAACAAAACGTAGTATTGTGAACATCTTGGGGTTGAAGTGCTTCGAGAGGCTGCAGCTCTTAAGAAACAAAGGATTGTCTTTTGTCTGTAAGATACCGTGCTAGCTCACTATGTTAGTGTACACATGCTCCCCCCTCCTGACTTCCTCAATTAAAAAGTGTGTAATCCTACATGTGCCAGAAAGCTTAATGTGGGGGAATATATGTGGTTTAAGTGCTCTTCAACCAGAGGAAATCATTGAATTAAGTGCCTGACTTGGCACGTTAGGTCGATTAGATGTATCTTTTCAAAATGCAGTCATTAACCAATATGAGGTCTCAACCAAATCAGTTTGAATGTAGTTAGTCACATTGTGCATTATACCGATTGGTCATTAGCTCAATAAATGCAGTTATTAACTGTTAAATGTTCTATATGAGCAATTACTAAGGTGTTATTTACAGCATAATGTCATATGAGCCAATAAATCTATCCACCTCCTAGGCAGACAAGCTAATTTGGCTCCCCTTATATGTGATTTGTGATAATGCTTAAAAGGGGACGTTTTACCGGCCGCAGTGTTCTAGTGGATATGGTGCTTGACTGTTCACCTGAAGGTCACGGGGTTGAATCCCGGCCACGGCAGCCGCATTTTCGATAGAGGCGAAAATGCTGGAGGCCCGTGTACCTATGATTTAGGCGCATGTTGAAGAACCCTCGATAGTCTAAATTTCCGGAACCCTCCACTATGGAATCTCTAATAATCGTATTGTAATTTTGGGCCATTATATTCTAGTAGTTATTATTAGTAAAAGTGATCTACTCTTTTTCATGCAGGTCCACAGAACATAAGAAATAATATTGAAAAAAAAAAAACTTGCAATGTCATTTAATAGTGTTAAGAAGACTAGCAGGGGTAGAGACAGGTAAGTGTATATACTAGTTATTTTGTGCTGGAAAAAGTATATGGCAACTGTTAAGTGTCTACCTATAATGTTAGATGTATGTCAAGTAAATCTCATTCCAAGAGCACTAAATAGCTGCTCTTCTAAAGTAGTTGATTTGATCTTGCCTTTTCAAGTGAAACTGCACACGGCACACATTTTCAGTTGTATCCCTATTTCAGTCTAACACTTAGCTTGTAGAGTTTCTGTACTGTATTTAATTACAAATAAAGACTGCATAAGCAGAAACTACAAAAACCACAATGTGCCTAGCTGCAATTTATTCTTATGTGTTTCATGTTCTAAAGAATAATTAAAGGACAGGCGTTAAGGTCTTGAAAACACCCAAAGTAGGCACTTCGGTCTTCCATGTCAGTACAATAAAGTTTTAAATAATATAACATTGCTCACATATGAGTTCTGAAGGCAGCAAATGCGTATTGATTATACATTGCTGCTCTGATTTGCTGGGCACATTAGAAGGTGCTTTTCTTTTTCTTCTTTTTTTCAACACTGCACCATTCTGTCTAGACACCCACCTGCAGTGCGGGTGTGCTGACAAAAAGAAAGGTTTCATGATCTTTGTTGCTGCTAAGAACTGTAAAAAACTATTAGAAGGATTAGCAACTCAACTAAAACTGACAGTGTTAGCTCTTCTAGGTCAGACTGTCAGGTGCGATTCTGTGAGCACCTTGCTGTTCCAGCAGTGTTTCTATGTGCCCTTTGTAAACAAGTAAGTGAATGTGATTGCAGAACAAAAACAGCACTCTCTTATTACATGACTAAGTTTTTTATTTTTATTTTCTCTGTGGCTTTCTGTGCGGACTCCCCAGGCATCCGTAAGTGATGGATTTCGTATAGTAGATGTGTCTTGTAGGTGAGCAGTAATTGAAAGCTGTTCTCTGCATCATGCTAGGCTTTTTTAAAAAGCAGTTAAAACTTTAGCAAGTTTTGGTAGCTGTAGCACAAGTTCTTAGGCAAGACAAGTTAATGAAAATGTGTGATAAAGTCCATAGGAGTTGGTATGCACATAATTTTATTTTCACTGTGAAGCTTTATATGGCTAGATTCTGGTGGGTAGCATGCCTTAATGAAAGGCGCATTGAAATAACAATTTTCGGCACTCCTCATGCATTGCCCCCTCTCACTTTTGCGGACGGGAGGCAAGACTGCTGGTTGAACAGCTACAGAAACAACCATCTTTCTACAGAAGTTCATCAGCAACTAAAATTTTGTCACTATGCTTTCAAATTCATATACCGGTAGACATCTTAGACATGCAAGGGCAATAGAAGAACTTGACAAATGTGAATCAGCGGTAATAAATGAGGATAATTTTAATGATACTGTGTTGAGTGACCATAGACATTAGCAATTTGCAGCAGTATATTCAATTTTTTTGTAATTTTTCATATTTCTTTCTTTGCTTGTAGGAGGACATCCCAGGATACTTGGAATGATTTTGAACAGAAAACAGGAACTCAGACGAGGGGAGTATTGCTTGCAAACAGTCCTGTGCCTCACACTTCTTGGACCAAGAAAGAGCTGTGAGCAGTTTTTTGTAACCTTTATAAGCTACATGTTGTAAAACTTTCGCCTGTTTGACCCTGCTACCATTTGTTTCTTTGTAACACTAAATTATCGTAACACTCTGTAATTTCCCAAATGGAATATTATATCCATGCACGAGTGGTAGGGACGAATGCCTGAGACTGTTTCAGTAACCATTGTGACACATGCAAGCTAAGCCTTGTTATAACAAACCTCAGATGAGCCAAAACAAGAAATATATATATATATATATATATATATATATATATATATATATATATATATATATATATGATGTTACGGGAGAATAACTTTACTTTATAAAACGAGGAATAAACTCGGTGGTGGACAAGATGGCGCCCAGTTGGCTCACAGATCTGACAACATCGTCCTCCTCTTTGTCTTCTTCGTCGTTCTCATCCTACCGTTACATGATTTCCCCGGCGGCTGGAGCACCGACCCGGTGCTAATCAGGAGGCACTGGAGTAATACGGTTTGAGTCGCGTAACATGCACTACGTCAGTGTGAGGGTGAAGGATGGCGGGGTCCGTAGGGGTGATTTCGTATGTGACGTCAGTTACTTGGCGTAAGATACGGTAGGGACCTGAATAGCGTGGGAGTAACTTCTCCGAAAGTCCAACGCGGCGCGAGGGGAACCATAACAGAACGAGATCTCCGGGTGTGAAGTGGACGTCACGATGGCGGGCGTCGTATACGCTCTTCTGATTGTCCTGGGAGTCCAGTAAGCGTCGTCGAGCAACTTGGCGTGCCGCTTGGGCCTTCATTATTGCATCACGAGCGTACTGAGACTTGTCATTTAGTCCGGCCGGCAGGAGGGTGTCGAAAGGTAGCGCAGGGTCACGGCCGAACAACAGAAAAAAAGGAGAGAACCCAGCGGTGTCGTGTCTGGAAGAATTGTACGCGAATGTTACAAACGGTAACGTAGTGTCCCAGTCGCGGTGATCGGCGGAGACATACATGGAGAGCATGTCGGTGAGAGTGCGATTGAGGCGCTCCGTTAGACCATTTGTTTGTGGATGGTAAGCAGTCGAGAGCTTGTGTTTAGTGGCGCAGGAGCGGAGGAGGTCATCAACCACTTTGGAAAGGAAGTAGCTGCCTCGGTCGGTAAGGAGTTGTCGAGGGGCGCCATGATGTAAGATGACGTCCTCCAAAAGGAAATCGGCCACGTCAGTTGCACAGCTGGTTGGAAGGGCCCGTGTGATCGCGTATCGGGTAGCATAATCGGTTGCTACTGCAATCCACCGATTACCCGCAGCTGACGTAGGAAAAGGGCCAAGCAGGTCCACGCCAACACGGTAGAATGGGTCTTGTGGGATGTGCAGTGGCTGAAGACGTCCGGCCGGAGGGGCATTTGGTTTTTTCCGTCGTTGACAAGGGTCGCAGGCTGCAATATAACGGCAGACGTCGCGGTACATGCCAGGCCAGAAGAAGCGCCGGCGAACTCTGTCGTAGGTCCGTGACACGCCGAGGTGACCCGCTGTAGGTGCATCATGAAGCTGGGCGAGAACAGTGTGACGCAATTGAATGGGAACGACGAGTAGTCTTTCGGGGCCGTCAGGACGCATATTGCAACGGTACAATACACCATCATGTATTTCAAACATTCGAAGGGAAGGGTCGGGCCTCACCGATGTGAGCCTTCGGATAATACCGTCCAAGAAAGTATCTCGTCGCTGCTCGATTCCAATGTCATGAAACGCGGATAGAGAGAAAACGTCGATAGGAAGGGTGGTTTTAGAGGAGTCGCCGTCTGGGGGGTCGACAGGATACCGGGACAAGCAGTCCGCATCTTGATGCAGGCGGCCGGTTTTATACAGGACTGAGTAATCAAATTCTTGAAGGCGCAGCGCCCAACGGCCAAGACGGCCTGAAGGGTCTTTAAGGGACGAAAGCCAGCACAAGGCGTGGTGATCTGTGATTACTGTGAATGGCCGGCCGTACAAATAGGGACGAAATTTACCGACTGCCCAAACAAGTGCCAAACATTCCCGTTCGGTTATTGAATATTTTCTTTCAGCAGGCGAAAGAAGGCGGCTGGCATAAGCAACAACACGGTCTCGTCCTTGTTGTTTCTGGGCGAGGACTGCACCGATGCCATAGCCACTTGCGTCTGTACGAACTTCTGTTGGAGATGAAATATCAAAGTGGGCGAGGATAGGCGGAGACGTAAGCAGACACACTAGATTTTGAAACGCATCTGCTTGCTCAGGGCCCCAGATGAAGCCAGCGTCTTTTTGAGAAGTTGAGTGAGAGGGCGTGCTACGTCGGCGAAGTTTTTAACAAAGCGGCGGAAGTAAGAACAGAGGCCAACGAAACTGCGAACGTCTTTGGTACAGGTTGGTACAGGGAAATCTCTTACTGCGCGTATTTTATCTTGATCAGGGCGAACCCCCACGGAATCAACGAGGTGTCCGAGGACAGAAATTTCACGACGGCCGAAGTGGCACTTTGCCGAATTGAGTTGCAGGCCCGCCTTACGAAAGACAGATAAGATTTTCGATAGCCTTTCAAGGTGCGTCGCAAAAGAAGGCGAAAAAACGATAACGTCGTCCAGGTAGCACAGGCAGATGGACCACTTGAAGCCGTGCAACAGAGCGTCCATCATACGTTCGAATGTGGCGGGCGCATTACATAAACCGAATGGCATCACTTTAAACTCGTAAAGGCCGTCGGGAGTGATAAACGCCGTCTTCTCACGGTCCATGTCATCAACGGCAATCTGCCAGTACCCAGAGCGGAGGTCAATGGAGGAAAAATATTTTGCGCCGTGAAGGCAATCCAGGGCATCGTCTATGCGTGGTAAAGGGTAGACGTCCTTCTTCGTTATTTTGTTTAAATGGCGATAATCGACGCAAAATCTCCAGCTGTTGTCCTTCTTCTTTACAAGTACAACAGGGGACGCCCAGGGACTGCATGAAGGCTCGATGATATTCCGAGAAAGCATTTTGTCGACCTCCTGTTGGATGATGCGCCGCTCTGCATGGGAAACACGGTAGGGTCTCCGATGGATGGGACTCGTATCGCCTGTATCAATCCGGTGCTTAACAACGGACGTCTGGCCGAGTGGGCGGTCGCCAAGGTCGAAGATGTCCCAAAAAGATGCAAGCAGGGAACGCAGGTCGTTAGCTTGTTCTTTAGGCAAGTCGGGGGCAATCATCTTGGTTAACACACTTTGGTCTGATGGAGGAGTAGACGAAGTTTTTTCGGCACTCGGGATGCTGTCATAACTTAGAGTGCAAATATGGCACTCTGCCGCCGGCACGATCTCGGCTAGAGATATACCACGAGGGAGGACTTGTGTACATAGTGAAAAATTCACTAAGGGTAGGCAGGATGCATTGGCCGTAATAGTGATGACGGTGTGAGGAAACGCAACGTTGTGCGAAAGCAGGACGTCAACATTGGGGGACACAATATAAACACCGTCTGGGACAGGTGGAACAGGGGAGACGCCTATGTAAGCTACTGTTCGTTGAGGGAGACGCAGGTGTTCTGTAGAACAAAGCCGACTTGGAGGGCAACTTGGAGGATCAACAACATTAGGTAGAGCGAGTTGCACTATACCGGCAGAGCAGTCTATCAAGGCCGAATGTTCAGACAAAAAGTCTTGGCCCAAAATTATGTCATTAGGGCAGTGTTCTAAAACATAAAACAGAACTGATGTGTGGTGTCCGGCGACGCTGACGCGAGCTGAGCACACACCAATTACGGCGACTTTTCCACCATCGGCCGTTCGGACCACAGGAGTTGGGCCAGGAGTAAGGACTTTCTTCAGCCGTGCTCTAAGGTCAGCGTTCATGATAGACACGTGTGCGCCAGTGTCAATGAGGGCTGTAGTAGGTACACCGTCGACGTCAACATTGATAAGGTTCTGATGTGCGGGCAAGGTCAGTAGAGGATTTTGGGATCGGGTCGGTATTGCAGCATCACCTCCAAGAGCTGCTCCCGTCAGTTTTCCGGAGGTGAACGCCGGAACGAGCTTGGGGACGGCGATCGGCGAGATGGGGGCGAGCGGGAGAAACGGCGTTGTGGCGAAGGGGAGCGGCTGGATCGGGGGCGCGAGGAATTCTCAGGCGTTAGCGGCTCTGTTTTCGGTGATGAGCGTGAATTCCAGACAGGTGGGCGATGGGGCGGAGGGTGAGGCCACGGAGCAGAGCTGGACCAAGCACGGCAGTGACGCGAAATGTGGCCTATACGACCGCAATTGAAGCATATCGGCCGGTCGTCTGGGGTGCGCCATACCGCCGGGTCGCGATAATGTGGGCTGGCAGAAAAACGTCGGTTGGGCGGAACAGTCACGGGTGGATTTGGTGTGGCGTAGTCTGGACGATGAATGGAGCAGACGTTTAAGCCGGCGTTGGCCAGTTCTTGCCTCACGACGGTCTGTATGAGAGAGACGGTGGCGTGATAGCTTTCGGAGTTGGGGGAGGCTGACACGAGTGGAGCTGCGGCTTCTATTTCCCGACGGACAATACGGACAACGTCACCGGGACTTTCCGTAGAAGGCAGGCGAGGGTCTTCGCATGTGGATGTTGCAGCCGTGTTTGGAAGCCGGGCAAACTGGTGGAGAACACGGCGGCTCTTCGCTTCTTCAAAGCGCCGGCATTCAGAAATAATGTCGTGGACCGTAGATGAATTCTTGAACACAAGAAGGTGAAAGGCGTCATCTGCTATGCCCTTAATAATATGGCCAACCTTATCGGCTTCGGACATCTGCGAGTCTACCTTGCGGCACAAAGCGAGCACGTCCTGAATGTACGTGAGGTATGATTCGGTGCACGTCTGAACTCGACGTGCGAGCTCGTTTTGGGCGGCGCGTTGACTTCCCACAGGCCTGCCAAATAGCTCCCGGAGCTTTTGCTTGCATAACTCCCAGCTAGTCAGTTCTTCCTCGTGCGTCTCGTACCAGACCTTTGCGGTACCTCTGAGATAAAAAATCACGTTGGCCAGCATGAGCGTTGGATCCCATCGCATACGTACACCCACTCGTTCGTATGACTTCAGCCAGGCTTCTACGTCAATGCCATCAGTGC